TTATTTTATACCTCTTTGTGAATAGTTAGAGAAATTGATATTATCAATTTGTAGTAGTTAACTGTCAACATACGCTACATATACATATCTCTTGATGATATGATTTTTTGGAGATATCTATAAAATATTAGCGGCTTTTGGCTGGGTGTACATTAGCATCATCCCTCCTTGTCTGATCCCATTCCGTTATTGGCGATATTGGCGATATTGGCGGGCCCCCTAGTTCATAAAAATCAGAAATTGCCCAATCAGCCCTCATTGAACCGAAACACCACTTTTTTGCAAAAAAATGGGGCAAGAAAAGGGCGGATGAGGCAATCTGGCTCCCAGAGCAACACCAACAAATCCTCAGATTTCAGACTTGGGTGAGTGGCGTGTTGGTCACTGCAGATTGAACCCGATTATTGATGATTTCTTTTGTGACACGACACTTATGACGTGCTGGAACAACGATTAGTGGTTTGTGGTTAAGGCCCACAGTACTCCGTGGCATGTCAGTCGATCGGAGCTCAAATTTTCAAGCCGCGTGGTGCTTCCATCATACTCGCCACACATAGGACAGGAAAGCCCCCTTGTTTCTTCTCACTCTCGTCTCTTCATCCGAGGGATGGCGATTACGTCTCCTCGTACTCCGTAGGTTCTTGATCGCAGGAAACAAGGCACCACAAGGATATGAGGCTCTTCCGACCACCAGTCCCAGCCTCCTAAGTTACTCCCGATAACATCCCATTGACCAAAAACGCCTCCCTTGCGCTGAGCTCGCTTCGGTTACGAATTAGCGCCAAGCCCATTGGGGTGGCTGGTGTCATTGCACCGCCACTGAAGGGTCTCGGTGGGAAATCTTGGTTAAGAAGCGGGAAATCCTTGGAAATCACTAGGAACCTCAACATAGGGTCGAATAACACAAAAAAAACTATATAGAGATCGCGATGGGGTTTTTGCATTTCCCAATACCAATGGACTTTTGTGCTCATTATACGGAGTAAATGCTCCAGCTTCTCATGAATTAACTAACTAACTAACTAACCAGTTAACCAACCAGTTTAACAATTTTGTCACATAATCGTGACATGCGTTGCTTGGCGCTGGGCTGGAGCAAATGAAAATTTCTGACAGGGGGCATGCCAATCAGATTGTCCTTCCACCATAGCGCGTCGTGCAGAGGAATCAGAGAGTCTCCCTTGATTCAGAAAAGCTTGTTGTTTTTTGTTGTTGTTGTTTTTGTTGTTGTTGTTTTTGTTTTTGTCGTTGTTTGTCCTCTTCAATAATACGGTTACCGCTCTCTGTCTACTGCAGGTACAGCCGTGTTGTACAGAACTTAAAGAAGGCACTTAATGGCAAATAAAACCAAAACAAGTGCTCCTTTGGGCGATTCGCCCAGCAGCACGTTAGTCTAAAAAAAGACAAACAACAAACATAGGAAAGAAAATTATACGAGGCGAAAGATTACACACAGAACGCATAGATACAGGGATGGATGATTGCAAACGGCGTGGTAGTATATATTTAATTCCTTAAAAAAGAGAAGAGGTAAAAAAAAAAAAAAAAAGCAGAAACTGGAAAACTC